GATCCACTGACTGTATTTAAGGAGATCGTCGCTGATGTGGAAACTTTGAAAGTAGAGTATTATAAAGAAGATTTGGCCTTGATCCTATTGTATTCGTTGCCCGCTTCGTTTTCTTCATTTAGAGGTACGATATTGTATAGTCGTGATATTCTCACCATAAAAGAGGTGCATGATCCTTTGTATTCAAAAGAGAAGATGAAGCATCTGATTTCTGATATCAGAGATGGAGAAGGCTTGGTTGCTCATGGTGGTTCTGGAAGGGGCAGATCGAAATCTAAGTTCATCAATCAGATTTGTAACTACTGTAAGAAGAAGAGACACGTGAAGAATGATTGATATAAATTGCAGAATAAAGAAATGTTGGTTGCAAGTCGATATAAGAAGCAATCAGAGACTTCAGGTGAAGTAGACCTCGCAGAGAACATTAATGGAGATCTCTTGACTATTTCTGACGTCGAGTCTAAACCAAATGAGGATTGGATTCTTGATTCAGCATCTGTGTTTCATATGTGTCATAATAAGGACTTGTTTACTACATATGAAACTGTTTCCAAATGTGTCGTGGTTACGGGAAACAACGCACCTTATCGAGTTGTTGGAATTGGTACGATCAGATTGAAACTTTTGGATGGAACAATTAGAACACTTGGCCAGTTCGACATGTTCCGAATTTGAAGAAGAATCTCATCTCGTTGTCTATCTTTAATTCAAAAAATTATGAGTTCTTTGGTGGAATTGGAGTTTTGAAGGTTTGTAAGGGTGCCCTTGTTGTATTGAAAGGACAGAAGCAGTCTCAGTTATCATCTTGCAGGGTTGTGCAGAATCTAGAAGAGTTAATCGGCATAGGTTCAGTATCGTGGTGGACATTCAATTTGGTACAATACCTTTAGGAGCTCGTAAATGGTCGGATTTGAAGAATACAGCTTAGTGGAGTTTCGAAGATATGGGTAATACCGCTTTGCCACCATCACCTGCGGTGCTATTCAAGGACGGATCCAGAACCGGATTACAGGCCGGGTTAATACGTAAAAAAAAAAAAAAAAAAAAATTACACATGATTTTTTTTACATAAATTTTTTTTTTCTAACTAAAAACAAATTAGTTGGGTCCGACCCTGGTGCTATTGTATTCAATTGTTAGGGACGGACCTAGTGGAAAAAAGTATTTGGATGCTAATTTTTGTTGAGCATGTTTTAAGTGAAGTAGAAGGTGTACAATCTAGCAATGGGCATTCTTTAAAAACATTTAGGTTTTGATTCTTCTTTGGGATATGTTACCGCCCATTTTGATAATTATAAAATCATTATGATTTTTGGGAATTTGAGATAATTATACCAGATTAGTGTTTGGATTCATTGGAAGAGGTGGAGTATTGTGTTTTGTTGAAGAAATTAACTTTTTGGTTATTGTTGAAGAAGCCGGTTCATTCCTTAGTGGAATTTGTGTCAATGTGGAGATTGTTATAATTAGGTGTAACCTGAATTCCTTGTTGAAGTAATTGAAAAATTATAATTGAAGTGCATATCAACAAGAATTCAGTTTGGAATACTGTTGGAATCCTATGTCAAATTGAAGTTCTATTTTAGAAGCTCATTGAGATTTGAAAATTGGTATTGGATTTGAAAAAGAGTTTTGAATGGAGAAAATAATTTGAAAAAAAAAAATAAACTCGGGCAGAACACCCTGCGTCACGGTGCCGGGCATGGGTGTCAGGATGTGGCACCGCAGCGCCCACCTGACCTGTTTCCGGTTTTTCTAGTTTTTCTCTCCTTTTTCGTTTTGAACTCGATTTTTTGGCATCATACTTCATCAACAACTCTACTAAAATGGTTTGGATGTCAACTACATATTTCCTATAAATATTAGGCTCTTCTATACAATTTTATAAGTGTGAGAAAATAGATTACTGGAATTATATGATCCATTGTAATTTTCTCTCTTCTGTATTATTTTTAAGTCAATAAAATCTCTTAATTCTTCTACCATATTTTCTGTGTTTATTATTATTTTGTTTGATCAAATATTTTATTATTGTGCCATATAACTTCAACATTTCAATCCGGTGGTTGGTTTCACAACAAGTGGTATCAGAGCTATTCTAGTATCTTATTTGTTTTACAACGGGATGTTTGAGGAGTAAGTATATATTTTGTTGTCTGCTGTCTAACTGTCTCTCGAAAAGGATGTGGACAACACAAGTAATTGATGAGATTTTATACATCCTTACAACTGAGTTATATGAACTAACATTAGCAAGTTTAAATTTTCCACATTAATAATATTTGCTCTATGAATCTACCATCTGTTTTATATGTTAGTATAAGCAAATGATGATTTTATATTAAAAGATTATGTTCTAACTTCTCATTCTTGTTTCTTTCTACCCATCAAGTTTTTTCATGTGTGTTTTGGGTAAAGTGTGTTTCTTGTAGAGTTTTAAAGATGTTTTTGTTCATAATGCGAATACATCTTTATAGAACTTGTTAAAAGAGGAGAAGATACACCAAAACTAACATAGCCCGTAATAATTTTTAAAGATCCTCATATAGATAAGCATCAATATCTTCTCGTTCTATCCTTTTATCCTCAATTAGTTTAAGCTCATAACTTATTCGTGCAAGCACAAAAACAATGGACCTCAGTAGAATCACTTCAATACAGTCAAAATGCTAACGAAAGCCTTGTTAACGAATCTAGATATGTATAGAAATCACAAGAATATGGAACAATGAAAAGTAATTTATATCTATATAGAACTAAGAACTTTTACTTTATACTACAAAGATTATGCATCAAACTTGAGATCATTCTGAAGCAATGTATCCAGAATCAAGTATGAAAGGAATAAAGAACACAAAACCAAAAGTTTTAGGTGGTGATATTAGGTGTGAGGGGTGGGGGTTTGTGGATCACATTAGAATAAAGTAGTAAAAGTGAGCCAATATGCAACTTGCAAAAAAAGGTGATTCTTTGACAAGAAACGGTGGGGATTAGTTTGTCATTTACTAAAAAGTTTCTTGTTGCCTTAAAATTTGAATTCTTTGGTTAGTGGGTGGGACCAAAAATAATGTGGGTGGACAATGAGGCTTTTTCATGACTGTCCTAGCAACAGTAATGGTTACATAGACCACCAGTTAGCAAACAACAAGAGAAAGTGGTATGATTATTTTCAATAAAGAAGAACCTATTATCAACAATGGGAACTTTTGCAAATTTTATTTTTTTTGTTTATAAGAGTGATACGACTTCAGTAGAACATGTGAGAGAGATTTATCAATACTAATTCAAAGGATACAATAATGGAATAGACAATTGTCACACGTATTACTGAATACGAATTCAAAGGATGTAATGACTTAAATGATAGTTGTGTTATGTTTTATCAATTGTTCCTCTAAAAGAAGCATTTCCAATAGCGAAACCTTAAATATGTCATTTCTGCAAAATTAAAAAAAATAAAATATAGCAAATGTGGTACATGCATTGAAAAAAAATTAGAGATGAGATTGAGTTAGTTTACTGAATACGAATTCAAAGGATGTAACGATTTAAATGATAGTTGTGTTGTGTTTTATCAATTGTTCATCTAAAAGAAGCATTTCCAATAGCGAAACCTTAAATATGTCATTTCTACAAAATTAAAAAATAAATAAAAAAATTAGCAAATGTGATATATGCATTGAAAAAAAATTAGAGATGAGATTGAGTTAGTTTAAGTACAAAAATAGAAGTTGTCAAAGTAAAAAGTTTCTTAATATGCATTATAAAAATTTTGTATTCAGCAAATTATTATTTTATCTTTTCGTTGGGTCCTATGATTTTGAATAAAATTATTATTTTATACATTTATCGGGATTATTAATTTAATCCACTTATCGAGCTGAGATCTAAAATTTTTATTATTTGAACAAGGTTATCGACCTATCAAACATTTATTCATCGAAAGTTTTAGAGTACAATCAAGTGGATGGTGACTCACAAGTTGGATTAAGCATACGACAATAGGCCAATTTGTCCCACTTTTATTCACAATTTCCCATCATAAAACAGAGAAATTTCAGTATGTTGTGCCATAGCCATCAAATCCTCCATCTTCTCAGTTACTGTTGTTGATTTTACATTTAAACAAATAAATATATTTTGTATAACAATTTAAAATTTTGAAACGAGACACTTCAATATAGTATAACACAATTTCACGACTCGTCACTATTTATTTGTCAAAATTTAAACCCGTGTTAAAAAGTGCATCGCATACACGAGGGGCGAATCTTTATAAATAGTTTAAATTATAAATATACAGAAATGAGTGATAAATAAGTAGATAAGTGATTTAATTGATTATAAATAGCCTATAAACATTATGCAAAACATAATTAAATAAATATTTTTGCTCTAATAACTTAACCTTTTAAACAAGGTACTTCAGTACCCACTTTATTCAAGAATAGCATTCAGCACATAATAGTTGAAGACTAGCACAGATGATTTAGAACCAAAAAGCTAATAATACAGAGGGGTCTTGAAGATAGGTAGGAAGTATAACAAAGTTTCTAGATAGACAAATTGTACTTCAATTATTTGCAATAAATATACTGAAAAATGATATGTAAAAAGTTTTCTTGATTCTTTTTTTATATACCTTTTGGCTCTAAACTCATTTCCAAAGAACCTTTTTCTAGCCAAATTTTCATTTACTTCGTGCTTAAAGTAAACTAGTCTTGACAATGTATCACTCTTCATGCAGCATCTAGCCATACTATAATCCCTTGTCACGACGTCACCAGAATGAACCTTTCGTTCGAAAGTGTTATTAACGAAATACAATCTTGATACGCTAAAATCTTGTTCATTGTACTGTTAAATTATATTGCGTGCTAAACATATCCATAGTGAACCACTTGCTAACATGTGCGTCTTGTGCTAGTTTCTGAGTAACATCAGCTAACTTTAGCCTTCATTAACACATTCATGATGTTGAATAACCCCGTACTTGGTTTCTAGCTGCACTGTGAAATCGCTCGTGTGGGGTGGGCTGCATTTGAAAAACTGTACCATGATGTCCGAACTCGAGTACACGAGGACTAATACTTTGAATGTGATGGTTACGCTGATTTAGTACTGCAAACGAAGGAGTACCTCGAAGATGTGTCGTGATCAGGCTGCTATTTGGTAGGTTGAATGCCGTTGTCACTCCTTCATTTGGCTGATTAGAGTCTGATTTCTGTTGAAAGTACGTAACCAAGGTAGATTTATCTGGTGAATGGCGTCTATCTTTGTCTGATTTCATTTCTGTAAGATTGACGGTTGTGATATCATGTATGCTAGATCTTTTCTTATCCTTCCCTCCGGAAAGCTGTCTGATAAAGTACTTCTGAGCATGACTAGCAACCTGAGTCGGAGTCCTTGTTGTTACAAAATTGCGCGATATATTTCTCCAGTCGCCTTTTCCATACTTTTTCAGCCCCAACAGAAATTGCCTGAGGTTTCACCATCAATAGATAACATCACCACTAGAAGGAAAAGTATAACATGGGAAGGAACGCGATGTTCATTACACAATATATATGGGTTTGGGCTCGACAGACTGAACATCTGTTTCTTTCTTTAATATTGTTTAACGCTATTAAATCATCTCTATCAACTCTGCAACATATTCTTGAGTGTTTAGCAGAATCAGCCATAGAACATGAAACGATGATACTGTCAAATTTTGTCTCTCTATAAGGCAGTTCATTGTACTTCAGATTTCCAAAATCAAGACTGGAATGTGAGGATTTTTCAACTCTATTTTATACTATAATCGTGGCAAACTAGAGTAACATTTCAGATAATATGTTGCTACAAAGTACAAACATATAGATTAGAAAGTTTTAGATACCATGTTCAACATGGCATTAGAACAAACAAAGATCTTGATTTAATTCAAGTCTCCCAGTCCCTACCCAATTACAAAGAGTTTTTAAACCTATAGACGGGATAGTTTAACATGGTACTAGACCAGGCAAAGATCTCAAGTTAAGCTTATCACCACCCAAATATGCAAATTATGCACGCGTCTGATCTTTTGATGAAAAAATAAATTGGAGGTGTCAGGCGTGTTGAAGACCAAATTTTAAATAAAGTGATTCAACACAAATTACCTGTGCTCTTCTTGGGTCCATGGCACGCCTTTTTTCCTTTCATGTTCTGAAGATCGAGTGGACGAGTTCCGACTGCAGGCTACACCTTGTTTCAACCCATCATAGCCTTGGCTATTCACCCAGTCCAATGTGAAAGAACTATTGGTGTAACCAGGTATTGGTATTAGCCCTGCTTCTATATCACTAACATCTTCCACCAATTCCATATAATGTTTGATCACATCACTTACAGTCTTTCCTGGGATCATGGCTGCCACATTGTACCATCTATCTGGAGTATCTTTGTCAAATAATGCAAGAGCATTCTCAAACCTTTTGTTCTCCTCTGGAGTCCACTTCGTCACCATACTATCTGGAAACAGCCAATTTGATGTACCGACATATGATGCAGGAGACAAAAATCTCATTCCTCTGTTCATTTTATCTGGGCATGAATTAGTCAAGTTTCTGAAAAACCTAGGTAGCAAAAGACTTGACTAAATAGGGAGGAAATATATAGGTGGTGGAAATTTCTTATGAAGGAATAAGCATTAGATCAAAGAAGCATTGGAACAGAATCGGTATTATGCGTACTGAACAGTATTATAGAAACGATAATTGTCAAGTCATATCTAATAGTGCGTACTGAATATTCTGCCTCGTATGTTGTTTGACAGGAGGTGAAGAATCAAGAACATAATTTTCCTAAAACCAATGAAAATTCAGGATTTGTTAAAAGAGCAGAACTTACTTAGGGATGATGGTTTTGAAATTCTTGAACACAGAGAGAAATTTGTGGCTGCTTTTCTTCAATAGAGAGAGAAAGAGAGTTAAAAGTAGAATGATAAAATCGAAACCAGTTACTGAGTTTATAGAGATGAATCATCCATGTTATTTCAGTTATGTTGGTTAAGAGAGAGATCTATGGGTAGAAAACATTGAGTAATAGGTTAAAGTACAGAAGAAGGGAGCTCCAACACATAAAATGGTGTGGAGAGTTGATTGGCTGGAAGGTGTCTGTGGGGACAGCAGCTGAAGAAAACAGTAGAGAGAGAAAGAGAAGGGTTGTGCCTAATCAAAAAGGCCAAAGGACAAACTGTCGTTGGTATACCAGATACATCTATATGGGCCTTTTTTGTAATTTAAATGTTTGGCCCCCCTCTTTTTCAAATATTATTTTTTAAAAGGCTAATTAGCACAAAACGTCCCTACCTTTGGGGTGAATTTCGGAAACCATCCCTACCTTTCATTTCTTGGCATTTATGCCCTTACCTTTGGGGTTTTGGTACGTTGAACATCCTTTTCACTGTTTTTTGACTATTTTACCCTCCATTCAATTTAGACACAAAGAAAAGAAAAGAAAAACAATCCAATAAATTGCAACTATAGGCCCAAACTTTTTAAAAAGTGCAAATAACCCATTAAACTTCTTCCCAAAACTCACCCCCACCCTATCGTTGCCTGCTGGTCATTTTAAGGCCACCATGGCCGTCGAATTTTTGCACCAACACCATCTCCTCATCAACCCTTAATGTACCAACACAAATTCAAACCCCAAAATACATCAAACTCGAACCAAAATTCTGCCAAAAAAATAACATTCACGCACGGTTTTCTTCCAACTTCGACCCAATCCATGGATGCCCATGTTAATTACACTCCACGGGTCCCTCAAGCTCACCTAGACGCATCCATTCATGTTCCAATTACATCAAATAACAAAGAAAATTAAATTCTGCAGTTTTTCGACACGTGGTCACGACCAGAAAACCCAAATTCCGACGACGGTGGTGGTCCCCATGATCTCGGACCACCTGGGCTAGCATACTCTCTTCATGGCACAGCTATTCCACTCATTGGTCATCAACAATTTGGGCAAAATGTGCACGAACAGGCTGGGTCGAAATTGGTCGGTCCATGAATTTTCTTCCTTTTCTTTCTTGATTCAAAACCTGTATAATTACCTGCAGAAGCAGAGGGTCTTTTTTTTTAACCAATATTTGGTGTTTCCATCTGTAATGGAATAGTCAGGCACAAATGGCAGAGGTACAAAAGATTTTGGAGTCAATACCATCCATAAAAGAGGAGGTTCAGGCACTTAGGAGAGAAAACTATGCTTTTGAACGTGAAATGGAGCTCTCTTCAACTGTCCAGGGACAACGTTCTGGTGGCATTTGAAAGTGGGTTGCTGGCTAGATTAGGTTCCCAGGAACTGCTGAAGTTGCCCAAGTTAGTATCTTACTATTGTTGTGACCTTCGCACGTGAATGGTATGGAGACAGGACAGAGATGGGGTGGATGGTAGTGCGTGAAGGCTGTTTTTGGGCCGAATTTTGGTTCGATTTTGTTATTTTTTTAGATTGAAATTTGTGTAGGAATGTTAGTGGTTGATGAGGAGATGGTGTTGGTGCAAATATTTGGTGGCCACGGTTGCTTGAAAATGGCCGGTATGCAGCGATAGGATGGGGCGAGTTTTAGGAAGAATGTAAAGTTTAATGGATTATTTGCACTTTTTAAAAAGTTTGGGCCTATAGTTGCAATTTGTTGGATTGTTTTTCTTTTTTTTTCTTTGTGTCTAAATTGAATGGAGGATAAAATCATCAAAAAATAGTGAAAATGATGTTCAACGCACCAAAACCCCAAAGGTAAGGGCATAAATGTCAAGAAATGAAAGGTAGAGATTGTTTCCGAAATTCACCCCAAAGATAGGGACGTTTTGTGCTAATTAGCCTTTTTTAAAAACTCATTTTCAACTATGCAATCTCCAATAAAATAGTTTGACACATAAATCGAAAAAAAATTCTTACTTTTTAACCATATATTCTTCAACAAAACACTATTCTAAAATAGTATTTTGGCAAATAAAAAAAAAGAAAAAAAAAAGGTGGGGACTCAAACAAGGGAGAAAGCCGTGTCCACATTTTGCTGCTCTGGAACTTTCAAATTTGATTTGATTGCTAATCTGGACAAATCATTGGATCACCAGGCTAACAGTTTAACTGGTGAATCACTGTTGAATCATTATTTTAATTTAAAATAGCAGATTATCTTTTGATATTAAAGTCAATTTTACCAATGCAATTGTTGGAGTCAAAAAGCAAATTTCACCTTTCGACTCAACTTAAAAGTAATTATAAAAAGCTGACGGAGTGATGATGTCAGAATTTAAACTACATACGAACTTGAAGGGAGGTATGCAAGCATAAAACGTATAAATAAGAGAAAATTTGATTCTCCGTCCCCTCAGAAATGGTCTATTGGCTGTTTTGGACGGCTGAAAGACAAATCATTTGCCCTTGAATGATTGCTGATCGATTAGAGTTAAACATCCTTCTTACACATTAGATTAGCCAAAATCACCAAGTAAACTCGATTGAAGTAAAGGCCGATTCAAGCTGAGGCCGTCTAGGATATGGTGGCTGAACTCATCCCTCTAAGGTGAACACGTGACAGGTGACATTACAAGTGGATCATGTTCAAGTGAAGCCTTTAATCCCGAGTGATGCTACAACTCACGGACTACACACAGCCGGGGTGGGTGGGGGGGAGTTTTGCCAATTTTTTATTCACATGGGGCCCATCCTCATGTGAGAGAAATTTAAAATCCTGTGAAAATTTCTGTTAAATATTTTATGTACTCACAGTTTTATTCTTTAATCCCACATCGGAGGTCAGAGGCCAACAACAATATTCTTTTTGTAATGCAAAGAAAGGGTCCAAATACTATGAAGTATCAGTATTGAATTAGTCATCTCTCTGTATAATTGTGTGGTTAATTCAACAAGGAAAGTCCATTGCTGATGCAATGCGATTGTGATTCAAAATTAAGAAAAATTGTTGATCTTATCCGTACAGACTAGCCCTTTTCTTAATTCTAATTGAAAAGGAGGGTTCTGATTATGATTGACAAAGGAGTGATTAGTACGCTAATTATGTTTTAAAAGGTATTAACCTATAATTGTGTGGTTTTACTTTTGTTTTCTTATACGAGGATTAATATTATGGGATAGTGAAAAGTTATATAATTCTAAACATCTTGAATTACAAGTTGATTAGTAGAAGGGTTAGTTTGACATTGCTTTTGAGAATTTTTGAGATTCAAAAATTTCATTTTGACCTGTTTGTTGCTCTTTCAAAAGAGAGTGTTTTTTTTTACCTCTTCAAAGGTGGCCGAGTTGATGGAGTAGGTGAACGTAGAGACCAAATGTTATGAGTTCGAATTCCCTGCCAACATTTCCTCGATCGAGCCCATCTCACTGGGCTTGTCTAGTGTGGTTTACATCTCCTTTGTGGTTTGCGGGTTACTGCACATGGAGCGGGGTTTACCTAGTGAGCACTCACAGTGATCGGGCCTCCACCCCTTCGGTGTGGTCGGGACTCCACTGGCGGATAGCGGCTACGGGTCACTACGTCAAAAAATAAGGAGTTTTTTAAAAAATTAGTTTTTAGACGTTAACTAAAGTAATTTTCTCGCACTTCTACAAAAAAAAATAAAAATAAAAATAAAAACTCTATAAAACAACACTAAATCTCTACCTAATCTGCAGATTAGTAAAAGTACAATGTGTTAATGATTCGGTTTCAATAATTGGTTGTTAGCATAAAATAATACCTCTTTTGCGGGTATATACCTCTTTCAAATCTCTAAGAATTTTTTATTTTCTGCTGAATTTAGACAAGAAGATTCAGTCAAAGCTTTGCAAAGAAGCAAAGCCACCTTTATTCATACATAAGGGCACCTTACCTCCGGTTGATTCAATGCTTTATAGGACTATCTCTTGTTCGATCTTGAGAATGATTCTGTCTTTCAAAATTAAATCGATTATTCTTATCGATAAGTATCTCAAACAAGCCTATTATTTTGTAGAAAAATCCCTTTAACTGTTGTTTGGGAAATGACAGATCAAACTAAGAATTTGTCCCCTTTCCAAGAATTTATCACATGACACTTGTATGCTCACTTTTATGGATACGAGAAGATGTTGAAAGATGACAATTTTGGTTCTGCAGAGAACCCACAAAAGTATCCCATTACTTATAAGTAAAATTTTAGCTTAATTCGAAGTAGCTAACTTTCTTATATCACTTTTTATTTTTATTTTTGAAAGAGAGAACGTTGAATATATAACATATACCAGTGAAGACTTTCCACGAATAGAAAGATTCTCATTTACCCCAAAAACTGCAATGACATGTATAGAGAGAGGGGTTTGGGGGTGGGGTCGTACAGGTTGTGAACACATTAGTTGTTAGTGGCATTCATCATCCAATCCGAAGAATAATCGTGGCAATTCAACCAGCTGTCACCAATCAATTTACGAGACGTGTTTCCTACGTTTTTCAATCTTAATAGCATAATTAAATTTCATTTCATTTTTCGTCAAATTTCGATGAATATAAGCGGAACAAGATCAAGTAGCTTAAAAAGGAGCCACTGTGAC